ATTTTTTGTTTGTCTTTTAAAAATATATATTATGCTATATGAGATCAATCAAATTTTGTTTTTATTGGTCACAATATGAGATAAATCAATTAAGTTGAGTTTATAACAATCTTAGCCGTCATACGATAGGTATCTCACATGAGGTTCTATCTTGGACTAAACATTTTAAATAATATTTTAATGAATAAGTATCTCAAATAGTAGAGAAATTTAGATACTCATTCGTAGAAATATTATTAAAAAAATGTGGTCAAAGTTAGAACTCCATGTAAATACTTACCATCGAGGATGCTCTAACATCCTTCTTTGTTTTCAGTCCGTAGGTAAAAGGGCTAAAGCCTAATTAAGTAACGAGTTTGGAATAATTTATTCGATTTAGAGGTATTTTAATTCTCTTTAGCAAATGTGTTTGCTTCTTTGTGTTGGTTCATCAGCTTAGATAATCTCTCGGCGAGACTCTGCCTAGTTGTAGGGGACACACCATTCTTTCCGATCATTGATTCAATAATTGCCTCACCCAACAACTTATTCTTGATCACTGCTTTTCCACTTCTTGGAACTTTTTTGTCTTCCGAAAACGCAATCTGCACCCAAAAAAATATTTATTTCATCACATCAATTATATCGTTGGATCTTATGTTAAAATGATGATAAAGAATTCACTAACTGTGAGAGAGCCTTTAGGGCATAGAGCAAAGAGGATTGGAGCAAAGAGGATTGAAGAGCCTGGAGGGAAATCTTGGTTCTTGAAGACCACCAAGAATTCGTCGATGGCTTTGGCTTCGGTTCTTGTGTATTTCCCTGACGATTTCAATATCTCCTCGCAGTTTTCTACTACTTTCTCCGAGTATTGTGTCCCCTTCAATTTCACTTTCATCGTCACCCTTATGAATTTCTCAAACACACCTTCAATTTGTCCCCCAAGAGACCAAAAAAAAAAAAAAGAGTAATTTTATACGTATCAACTTAGTAGACATATAACTAGACAACAAAAATCGTGTGATGGAGAGACAAAAGTGATTTAAACTTCTACGTAAATAAGTTTTGTGCCTGTGATGATTTGATGGAAGAAAGAGATGGATTCCGTTAACTCCTTTGCATTCTTTCCCTTCCACTTAACGGAGAGTGACGGTACTGCTATAGCTTGGAGGTAAATTCCGATCACCGTGACAATCACGAACTTGCCTTCGATCTCTAGCCCTCGTACTCCTGCATGCGTGCGCAAATTAGCTACGGACTGATTACACACGCAAATATTATACAAGAATAGCGTTTGTGCGACTTTGATGCTAACCTGCGCCACCGAGGAAAAGCTTTTTGGAGGAAGCGAGAGAAGTAACAGCCGGAGGGAAAGTGAAGGTGTCCACTTGGAGAGGCGTCACTGACGGTAACGACATCGCCCACGTTGTTGTCCAACTCATGTCTAGTTTTTTTTTTGTTTTCAAGTTTAATTAAGACATTCAATCATAGATTAAGGTACGTATGAAGAAGACTATTACTATTAATTTGTAGGTTAAAAATAGAAAGAGATTTATGGGATTTCTTCCAATGATAAATAAAGAGATTGGATGTGCAAACCAAGATTCACACCAAATAAATTGGATGAGCAAAACAAGATATTTACGCTAAAGAAATTCGATTAATAGTGTTTGTTGGACACAATTAATACCTTTTGCATGTATACATAGTTGAAATTCAGAAAGACAAATAACGTTAACGCATAAATGCATGCGGGCTAGTGAGGGAGAGAGAATAATGCAACTTACTTGGTGAGAGAGA